TTAGCATCTCAAAGACTATTTGGCATGTCCTGAGGTTTCAATATGTGCTTATAGATTGTTTAAGAGTAAAAAGGCAGAAAATATTGATTACGTTTTTTCTACACTGTCCTTTTCTCTAAAGTCCTTCCTTTGGGTACTTAGAGGATATTATACTTCTCATTTCAGCTGGCCTCGTCCTGTGTGAGCTGCCAAGAGAAAATGAGTTGGGAGAGTTTGCATGAGGCCTGTGGTCTTTTTTTTAAATCTTGACAACAACCAGCCTGTGCAGGACTGCAGTGATCTCTCACCTGGACAACTGCAAGAGCCCCGCCTCTGCTTAAATCCATCCTGTGCACTACAATCAGAGGGATCTTTCTGAAATGCAAATAAAACAGTTGCATTTTCCTAGCTTTCCATCACCCTCAGGGCAAAATTCAGGTACAGATGATGATGTATAATCTCTGCCTGTGCTGGCTTCTCTTATCTGGCCTGCTTTGTGTCTCGACCCTCTCTGACCTCTAACTTGAGATTTAACAGCCACATGTAACTCTTGCAGCTACTTTAATGGGTTCTGAACTCTCACCTGTAACCCTTTTCTTATGTTGACCTGGTGCCCTTTCGTCCTACATTCTCTTTTGGGGAAGATGCTGAGGATTGAACCCACAGCCTCCAGCTTGCTAAACACAGTGCTCTACCACTGAGTCACATGTGCAGCCCCCTTCCTCCATCCTTTACTTCTTTTGCTGCGGTAACTCCTTCAGATTTTTCAAGGCAAAACTTACATTTTACCCTCTCTGAGAGGCCTTCCCAGATGCACCAAGCTTGAGCCAAGGATCGCTCTGTGTACTTGTCAGACACAGAGACTGCACTTGCTGTGACTGGTATGTGCCTGAGGCACAATAATTGCCTGATAAATATTTGTGGAATGTTGAATAGATGTTGACAGAGGTTCAGATGTGGAGTCAGAAAAACAGGATATAATTCTGGATTTTCCATTTGCTAGAATTTGACCCTGAGAAAGGCATCTAATTTTTTTGAGCTTCATTTTGTTCATCTATAAAACCAGGATAATAATGCAAAAAGGAGGTAGGGTTGACAGAAATAATGCAAGCAAACAACCTAGTACAATTACTAGCACACTGGAGGTGTTGAAGAAATACCAGTTCCTTTCGTCACTTTCTCTCTCACGTCCACCTCCCATCTCTAACTGCCTCCCCAACTATTAGTGCTTCTTTCTTAAGTCTGTGTCTCATTTGCTTCCTTCTCCCCAGCTCTTCCTTTTGCTAGTTCCCACTGATCTCATTTTTTCGTGATTAAAATAAAGCATCATGGAAAACTAATTAATATTTCGGAGATGAAGGATGCAGTGTTGCCAGGCCCAGCTCTCCGCTGAGTGCAAACCAATTACAATGAAACCCACTAGCTTGGCTGTTTAGGAGAAAGAGGATTTATTTATCAACAAGAGGGAATATAGCCCCTTTATAATGCAGTCACCAGCCTGCCTTTGATGACACTGCCAACTTCAAACCCTAGGTGCCTGCAGAAGAAGCCAAGAGGAGAATGGACTTCATCTGACATTAGGGCTCTGCTAGTCCAAGCCAGTCCCCTCCTCTGAGCCTGGGTCAAGCTCCAGAGCTCTGTCCACCTGGCCAATCTGAATCCCTACCCCCGATGACCTTTCTGCTGACACCCAGGGTTTGTAAGAAAGAACTCTGAAATATGAGCCAGAGGCCAGTGAGACTAGAAAAATAAGAAATCAACCTGCTTATGATCCCATTCTATAACTAGAAAAACTGAGGGCAAGAGGTATGAGTTGTTCAGGGTTACAAACTATGGAGCACACCTAGGTCATGAATGATCAAGTGTGCTTTCCTCCAGGCAATCCTTTCATCATTTCCAAAGCATATCATTGCTAATCTCTCAGAGTAACCATCACATAGAGCTGTGAGCATTTCCACATTGCAGCATATGTATTTGGAAACCTAGAGCTCTGTGCTTTTGCATTCCCTGCCTCAATAGAGCCTGGAAGGGCACTTTGCATGCAGTAGGAGTTTGATATTTATTAAATGAATCTACTAATGCATGAATTAATGGACACCAAAATTTCTTCAAACATCCCCTGAAGTAATAGGGACTCAGTAGAGAAACTCCAGTGAGGTGGATCTAGACTCCGAGATCTTAGAAAAAAATTGGCAGGGCTGAGCTAAAGCACCTTTGCTTCAACAATTACTTCGTAATTTTCAGAGTGACTTGTTGGGCCCAAGTTGGCCACCCTGCGTTCTAATTGCAGTATTCTCACTGACTGTGTAGCAGTGTGCCTCGGCTTCACATGTATTATCTTTATCTGTCCAACACGCACATTGGGAGGATCACATTGGATTATAGGTCCAGTGGAGTTAGGGTAGTGGAATGGTTCCACACATCTGCTTTGGATGCATCCTCCTGGTGGGGTCTGTGGGTCTGAGTGGCCTGAGTTGATGCTCTGATTCAATCAAGGGCTGCATATGATACCTATAGTCACTGGCTATAGTTGGCACATCGTAACTGTTAGCTAGTAGGTTCTTAACAGATGAGGTCTTAGGTTAGTAAGGGGCAGTGACAGAATTGATCACAAGTCTTCTTTCTCCAGTTTTAGTGTTTTTATTCCACAGGGAGACCTGCCTGCTATTTGACCTGCAGTTTCCCATGTCTGCATCTTAGTCTCAACCCCTCCTCATGATCACCAACATTTTTTTTCTTTGTTCCTTCTTTTGTCAAGAGCCCTTTGTGTTTGTTCCTGTTCTTCCTGTCAACATCTTCCCTCAGGCACAGCACTGCCATCAGATATTTCAACTACAGCCTCTGCTCTGTATCAGAAAGTCACTCAGTAGGAGAGTAGAGCACTTTCCCTGCCTTCTGCAGGCGGAGTGCTCCAGGAAGCCCCCATTCAGGGTACATCAGACTGACCAACAGCATGTGATTTCCCTCGTGTGTCTTTACATGACTGGCAGCCCAGCGTTCATCCTGCTTGAACAGACTGAGTGTTTTTTATCTCTTAGAAGACTTTACCAACTGGTGAGAGACCACTCTTGGTCTGTAGAAGGTTCTGCAGTTAAATGAGATTCATTGAGATGGCATGCATCCATGGATGGGGACTTGGAGACATTCAGGTGACGATCAATGCAATTCAAGTATAAATAATCTTGGTTATCTGAGACCTCCTTCTCCATAAAGTATTAATCGATGCACATATCTAGTCTGAAATTACTTAAAGCACATTATGCAATAGTCCAGGTCTTGTTCCTGGGCTGGGCTTCAGCATGAAAGAAGTCAGGCTCTACCTCTGACTCTTAGAACATTCAGTATAGTTTAGCCGCAACCACAATGGACCTTGTATAACTAATGAGGGTTGAGGTGGGTTACTAATTCATCACTTCCTGTCTGAAGGTAGATGACAGAAGTAAGAGTCCTGGAGGAACTGCCAAGGTATCTTAGTTACTTTCTCATTGCTGGAACAAAATACCCTACACTCACTAGTTAAAGGAGGAGAGGTTTGCTTTTAGCTCATAACTTGTAGAAGTTTCAGGCACAACAGAGGGGCATGGCAAAAGAGAAACAGTTCATGACATGACAGGCAGAAAGCAGTGCAACTTTCTTCTTCTTTCCATTTTTATTCCACCAGCTACAAGCCTATTGGTTGATGCTAGCCACACCTAGGGTAGGTCTTTCCTCTTCAGTAAGTACATCATCCATACCCAGAGCTGTGCTGACCCAGAACTAATACATACCTATGATCCAGTCATTTCCTTAAAGCCATGCCTAAGAGTACATGGGGATCTGGGGGGACATTTAGGTATAGGCCATAACACAAGGATTAAATCAAAGCCACAATTCTCAAACTAGCTCAGAAACGAGGGACTGCTGAGACAGCCACTGTCTAAGCACAGAACTCAAACAGAGTGGCTTGGGTATGGGTGTGGGAAGGGAGGGAGCAAGAAAATAGAGTGGAGATGGGGCAAACAACATCTCGTTTGTGTGTAGAGTCAGGCTAGAGAATATTCAGAGAAAAACTTCAGGGAAAAATGCCTCTATTATCTATTAGCCTGAAATGAATAAATAAATTGTAGCATTGTAAAATAATAAAAGTTTCAGCAGAGAAAAGTAGTAAACCAGAGCTACACATGTCAACATGGATAAATCACACAAACATAATGTTGACTGAAAAAAGGCAAGCTGTAAACAAAATGCTGATTTTATGATACAGCTGATAAAATGTTTGGAAACATGCAAAACAATTCCATATATTGTTCAGGAATAAATACATACATAAGAAAATTATAATGTCATTTGTAGGAACATTAAAGTCTAAATTCCAGATTGTGATGGCTTGTGGAGGGGGTTGTGCTCAGAAAGACTACATGAAGGCTTCAACCCTATAAGCAATGCCACATTTCCTGACCTGGGGGTAGATGCGTGGCTCCTTATTATAATATTCTTTACTCTTTTTTGTATATGTCTTAAATATCGCCTAATACAACTTATTTCAAAATCTGAAGTGAAGCAAGTTATGGGGACTGGGAAAACAAGGGTCCACTTTCTAGCCACTTTGTTGCCTGTACTCAGTTCTTTACAAAGCCCTGCTTGGAGGTGTCAAACAAGACTGCTCTCAAAGGCAATTAGTAAGCTGGACCAGCTCCCTCTCTGTGCCACAGAGCCCTCCCTTGGTGCAATGCAGTGATTCGGAAGTGAGGGATCTGGGTAGGACGTTAGCACTCCTGGGTACTCAGCAGGCACTGGTAGTTAAGCCTACCGCCTTTCTCTCCATAAAGAAACACAATCGCATGGCCAAAGTTGCTGGAGCCCATCGTGACCCCAGTGGCACGCTCCTTCTTTTTACTGGCTCACCCAGTGCACCGAGTCAACGTCATCCTGCCCTCCACTGATGACTTTGTCCCTCCCCATCCTCTTCCTGAAACTTCCACCATGTTGTTCTTGCTCCTCACACTGGCCTTAGGGCAAAAGGGCTTGCCGCTTCTACTTACTGCACAGAGCATGACCTCATGTTTTCAGGTGTCATGCTGTGGGCCTGAGTGCAGGATCCACGAACATCTCCAGGATTTCCTGCCCACCGTTGCTTACCGACTTGCTCCTTTCTTCCTCACTGTCACCATAACCACAGTGTACCGCTGATCTGCTTCAAACTTCCTGCCCCTTGTGGAAATAGAGAAGAAACACAAATGTGCTCCCTTTTCACCCATATGAGACACGTACTAATGCAGTCTCCATGGATGAGGAAACTGAGGCCCGAATAAATAAATACCGTGTTCAAGGTACTATAGCTAATATGAGGTCGGACAGGGATTCCAGTCTATATATTGATTTAATTACAAAGCCTGTGAATATTTTCCTCTACATTAGCTGCCTTTGAATGTTGATTGGAAAACTTCCAATGAATGCTTCATCATTCTTTTCCCTTTAGCGCAGTGGTGTTGTGGACTGGCTCAAGTGAAGTTCTGGAACCTCTTCTGTTCTGTTCCTTCATTCTCTTATTTTCAGGGTGCTTTTATGTGAGCAAGAGGGAGTGGATGAATCTCACAGTCTACTGTCTCCCTTTTCTGCAGTGACCTTATCCAGATCATCTTGCATAGGCTTCCCTTGTAGCAGAACCACCAGGTCTCTCCCACTCCCTGATTCCTGGATGCATTGTGATGAGAGGAATTAGACAACCTGTAACTTCTGCCATTTAAGTCTGCAGACACCAGCACCAAACTTGGAGACATGCCTGACACAGGCCACCAGCCCTAATCCTCACATGCCAGAGGGGGGCAATTACCTGAAGCCATTTCTAGGGCCACTACGGTCTTTCTTTCTTACATACACAACTCCCCCTTCTGATTGTGGAGGTCTCTGAGAAGTTACAAACCATTGAATTATGTGAAAAATCAAACTTAGGTACCAGCAGGAAAAGACTGTATCTCAGATCTGCTTTAAGATTGACAATTGGGCAAGGGTTAGAGGATTTGTCACCAAGGAGGTCTGGGTCTTCAGGGGTCGAGGTTGGTCTGCCACTGAAATGCACTCTTGCATAGAACATTTTAGTGTTGTTGGGACATGTCCAGTTGTCAGTAAGATTTATTTTCAGGGTAAAAGGACAGAGATGCTAAGTTTTCTTGCCATATAAGGGAGCTCCATGCATGAAGGAATTGTTCTAAGATATCAGTAGTGATTTTATTGAAAAACACTGTTAGACTGAGAAACCTTTCAGCTATGACAGGTCTGTCAGACACAGACCTGTGAAGTTCACAATGACTGTGATATGATCTATATGCCAGGGGTATGATATTGCCTTGGTCAAGGCCCAAGGTGTAAGGGATGAGTTTAGGACATAGCCTCTAAGGACACAGGACATCTGGGAATGAACTGACCAGGGAGCTGCTCGGCGTTAAAGGCTGAATGGCTTGGAGCAACAGCCATGACCTCTGGGCTCTCTGCCACTGGAGCAGAGAGTGATCTGAACAGATCACCCGGAGCCATGAGATAAAGGCAAGTAGAGGACCCAAGGAGGCAGAGAAAGGGGAAAGCAGGTTTGAAGAGGTATAAGATCAGAGCATGGCTGAGAGGATGAAATGAGTCCTTGAAGAGAAAAATTTTCTGTGATCTGCTCTGCAGTGAATGGGGGTTGGGGGCCTAGGGCCGAGCAGGGAAGCAAGGGAGGCATATTTTAAATTGTAGAATCAATACTGCATCTGTCCCTTTTTAAATTCAGTTCCTTCTTCTAATAAATCAAGTGGAGCTAAGGTATGGGGGTTTGTCAGTCTAAAAAGAGCCTTTGGCTCATCAATTTCCATAGCAAAGACAGGCAGTTTAAAGAAACCAGATAATTACTGAGCCCAGAGAGGCCCAGGGCACTTTGTAACATCTGTACACACCTGGCTGTCGCCTTGGTCTTGAAAAAGCTGCTGGAATTGAGTAAGGAGCTGCTAACAAGGCCTTGCATAGTTGCTCATCTTTTTTTTTTTTTTTTTTTTTTTTTTTTTTTTTTTTTTTTTTGGTTTTGGTTTTTCTCCGGTACCGGGAACCGAACTCACGACCTTGCGCTTGCCAGGCAGGCGCTTTTGCCGCTGAGCTAAATCCCCAGCCCCAGTTGCTCATCTTTAGACAGCTGTACGTGGGCTATCATGCACCTCCACCAGGGCCGCAGCAGTGTTGGTCCTGGTTACCACCGTGTTTCAGCACCTAGGATAGACAGTGCCTTACAGAGCACTGCCACTTCAAAAATATTGGTTGGATAAATGAATTAATATCTGTACATTATAAATCCAAACCAAGGAGAGAAAGAGAAGCATATGTCTTTTATACTTGCAGGAAAAAATGTTTGCAATTCTAGGATATAAAGCATGAAATAGAAAAAGGAGCAAAGGTTTGGGGGTCAAACTTTTCTATGTTATAAGCTCAGTTCAACCACTTTACCATCTCTGTGACCCGGGCTGATTACTTATTTTTCTAAGCCTCATTTGAAAAGTAGTAACAGTAATTATCTCTTTTTCCGGAGCTGTGGAAAAGAATTCAGCAAGCTATGTGTGAAGCACCCAGCGCAGAGTCTGATACCTAGTTAGCGTTCAGGAAATAGAAGCGGCTGTGGAGACTGGCAGTATATTTCCAGGGAATATGGGTGCACAGGGCAGGTGACTGAGCCAGACTGAAGACCTCCGGCATTTCTTCAGGAGCTGGCCTGTGACAGCATCCTCATCAGTCTAAAGCAGAAAGAGCAAATTGGACAATGCACTGAGATGTTTATGAAACTGAGCTATTTCATTTAAAGGGTGTGAGATTTTTTTTCTTATTACTTTTGTAAGTGTTAAATGCCATTCTTTTGTGATGGGATAATGACATTAGAAGGCAGAGATTAAAGGTATATCTTCATCTGGCAGAATAATAGTGGCCTGATTCTGGTCCTCAATTATTATTGCTCATGATCTAGCAGAAAGAAACTTCTATACGTGAAATACTGACCTTGCTGATTCTAATTCTCTCCTCTCCAGGAGGTGGAGTTCAATGTGGAGAGCAGTAGGGAGGAATATTTGCCTGGACCTAGAGAAGGCTCCTTAAAGCAGTAGAGAGGACTTGAACACGACCTTTAAACAAGATGAGTGTTGGCAGATAAGTCTATGGGCATTGAAGGTGGCAGGTAAGCTTGAGCAAAGGCCCAGAGGCATATGCAATTGAAGTGCAATGAACTGAAGCAGAATCTGAGTGACAGAAAAGCAAATGAAGACCAGAAAGCCATTCAGACTTCTTAGTAGGGAATTGTTATACTGCAAATGGGGTTGAGTAGGGAAGAGATTTAACATTTATTGAATTCCTGTTATTGCCTCTAATACTCACTCTTAAGACTGGCACTGTATTCTCCCCAATTTATGTGTAAGAATACTGAAGGTAACAGAGCTAAAACAAGGTGTCACGGGTAACTGAACTAGTAAGTGGCAGAACCAAACATGTAGCAGGAATGTTAAGATACAAGAAGTTTTGAGAAGTGGAAGAAAAATTTAGTGGAAAAAGATACAGCAAATCCTGGTTAGTGGAATTCTGGGCAGAGCCTTAGGAAGACTAGCAACATGGGCTCAAGGAAGTAGTGCCTCTTCTTGGGCAGTAGATTGCAGATGACATCTTCGGCACTGTTGGATGTTTTCAGAGCCCAAGAATATTATTTTACTCTCCTGCATCTAGGAAAGTCTTTGCCCAGTACACCCTGAGTGGCTAGCATGAAGCCCAGGATGAGATGAGAGCCTTCTGGAGCAAACATTCTCTAAGCTGGTGATAAAATGTCTCATTTTTTGCCTCTTTTGTCATTTCTAGGAATACCTATCTATTGGCTGGTTGGCTATCGATCGACCCTCCATTATCTGTCAATCGTATGTCTATGTATCAACATCTATCTCTTATCTAACAAGCATCTATTATCTATCAATCATCTATCATCTGTCACTATTTGTCATCTGTCTTCTTATCTCTGTATCTCCTATCTATCTGTATCTATCTATGTATCTGCTGACGCCTAGAATAGTGCTTAACTAAATAAATACATGATATGACATCCTTTAGGTCCCTTCCCCTACTGTGACATCTGGGCATTGGTTCTGAAACTTTGTAATGTTCCAGAATCTCACAGGGAGCATGGTAATGATATCCTCCCACCCCTGGGTTCTGTTTCTATAAATCTAGGGTGTGTCCACGAAAAGTAAATATGTAACAAGCCCCCATAAGGTTGCAACACCATTGGTCCCTGGACCACATTTAGAGAAGTTTGCATCTCCTCCATGAAGTAAGCCCTCAGACAAACCTACATCAAGGAGGGTGTTATTGTTTGTGTCTGAATGTCCCCCAAAAGCCTCATGCAGTCATTGGGCAGTGCTTTTCAGAGGAGGCTGAATCTAGAGTTTGTGATTGATTCATTGTTTAGTGTTAGGATTATGGGTGTGAGTGCTACTCTCAACCTAGAGAGGGTAGCCTACAGACAATGTAAGGGAGAGATACTTCTCTTACTCTCTCCTCCACCCTTGGCTCTTGTTACTTTTGCTGTCTTTTGCTGCCATGAACTGCTGCCTCTGCCATGTGCCACTCTGCCTTAGAGCCAACAGATTTCAGACTGAAACCTCCACAAAGTGTGAGCTAAATAAACTTTTCCGACTTTAACTTTGGATGTTGAGTATTTTATCTCAGCAGTGAGAGAAAAGTAGCTAAGGCAGAGGAGTTTCCCATCCTTCCCTGGGTTCCTCTGAGGTACCTCTCAGGCTGCCTCACTTTCAATGTGAAGATGAAAGAGATTTGGCCAAGGTCATCCATCTGGACTGTGAGAGAAGCTTCCCAGATGTGGTCTCTGGAGTGAGCATTGAACTTGTTTCTCTTTTCCATCCTTGGAGGCTGCTTGTTGGTAGGAATATTTTTGGAGTGGTTTGAGTTTAGTGCCAGGAAAGCTGGGCTGGTGTTACATATGGAAGAGGACTCCTGGTACACATGGTCACCATGTCACATAGCTCCAGAGCACAACTGACATTACCATGTACATGAATGTTACGCACTGGAGTTGACTGAACATTACAAGTGGTCATATGTGGGGTTTCTGGAAGTACATGAAGTCTTACTGGTATTTCTCTCCCCTTTCAAGTGGCTGTTAATGGTTCCTTTTAGGGACTATGGATGCTATAGAAGCTAGATGTTTGGTCCTTAAAGGCAGTAAATTCTATGGCTAGAAATGCCTTCCACAGCAGTCACAAGCAGTATTTATAAAGTAGTAGATCACTACAAAATGTGTCTGTTATGGTTTAGATCTAAAATGTCCTCCAAAAGTCTTGTATTTGGAAATGAGGACTGGTCAGAAGAGGTGGGTCATTGGGGGTGTAACCTGGAAGGGTGTAGTCTTGTCCTGAGCTCCTCCCTTTTCTCTCTGCTTCTGGGTCACCATGATGTAAGCAGCTTTCTCCACCAAGCCCTTCTTCCATGGCTTTTCTGCTTTACAGCTGACTGACCATGGACTGAACCCAATGAAATCATAAGCAGAAATAAACCTCTTCTCCTTTTAGTTAAGAGTAGCCAGTATTTTGTTTCACTGAAGGAAAATGATTGATAGAGCATCAGCTCAGGTGTTTGTGATAGTGCATGTAAGGAGGAGTATGTTTTCCCTATCTTGCCCTTCATACAAGAAGTTGATGATTTCTGTGGAACTTCTGCTAAAGGGAAAGATGTTTTCTCATTCAGCATGGATCCAGAGGAAATAGTTTCAAGAAAAGTTCATCCTCTCCTGTCCCCCTCCCAAGTGAATATGCCCTTTCAGTCATGCTGACCTTTATGTACCTGACAAGCAAAGGAAGCAGGGTGAGGAACCCCTTATAAAAACTCAGGTGCAGCCTACCTCCCACAACATCAAAAACAACTTCTTCAACTCTGTGCCCTAGATGGCTCACTTATCTCACTCTACTCTCAGCCCAGCAACATTTAAACCACCTATTTGGGAGTCAACTCTCTGGTAGGTATTGGAAAACAAATAAAACATAGCTATATCAATAAGGGTTTGACAAATATTTAATGAGATTCACAGAAAACTCAACCAAAAGACTTCTTTGTTGGGGGAATAGATGGTCCAACAGGAGTCATAGGAGAGGCACCTGGCTTCCTGGGGAGTCCAAGATGCCTTCCCTGAGAAGGAGTGATCCCAAAGTGGAGACTTGAGAAGACATTTGAAGGGAAAGGGAGAAGAAAGCCATTCTAGGCAGTGAGAACAGTTTGGAATGAGATGATGAGGCCAAGGGCTGAATGGAAAAGCATAGGAGGCTTAGAAGGACTGAGGTGTAAAACACATGGCTAGGTCCTGGGGAAGGGACTGGGAAGGAACCATAGAGCCAGAGTATGACGGAGTTTGTGTTCCATGCAAAGTTGCCCAGATTTCTAACCTGAAAACCACACAAGAACCTGCTGAAGAGTTCTGAGCGGGAAAGCGGCATGATCAGAATTGCATTTAAGAACTGTCACTGGAGGAAATGTGGAGAATCAGTTGAAGGGATGTGAAAACAGAGACAAATGAGCAATTCTGTGGTGACATCAAGAGTCCAGAGGGAAGATGCTGAGTGCCTGCTTCACTGTCATACTTCTTTACCTCGTCCCTGACGGGAAAAAGCCTCCAACCTCCCCAGCCCAGGATGACCATCTAGGAAACTGTGGTTACCCAGGGAAGAGAGCTGGTGGGGTTCTTTCTGCTTATTTCCTGGAACCTTTTCTTGAGTGGAGGTCTCCAAGGGTGCAAACAGACCGCTTCCTCAAGCCTGAACAGAATGGAGGAGGGACTCCTTTACCCAAAGAAAGTAGGGTCCTGAGGCTACCTTGGGAGATTTTTCTCCCAGAACTAAGCTCCTTCCCTCCCAGTGAGAGGCACAGCGAGTACTGGGACCTGCTCCCCTACCCTCTGATTCCCCTGACTACCTCCCCACACCTCTATGGAGATCCCTTCCCTTTTCTTTCTTTTTGTCACTGCTGCTTCTCAGACAGTTCCCCACCCCTTCAGGGGTGCTAGGGAGAGGAGCTAATTGCCTCGCTATAAATATGAGCCAGAACAAGCTCCCAGAGTCCCAGCCCTGGCTTTCCTTTCTCAGTGCCTCTGTGGTGGGCAGGCAGCAGTAGAGAGGTGATGTCTATACAGCAGTCCACTGAGATGCTTTGTAGTATCTCCACCCCTTCTCCAGCTCTGCTGTACTCACCTTCATGCAATTAACAAGTAGAATAGGAAGAAATAAGTAACCAAGCACCAGGCACAGGTGTAGGCTCCAGGAACAGAGGGAGGTGAATCAGAGTCTGCCTCTGCTTTCAAGGAATTCACAGTCTAGACCGGAAGACACATCTGCAGCAGAGTCATGATAAGACTTGTGACCTGGGGAAGAGGGAGGAGCCCAGGTCTCCACGGTGTGAGAGTGGAAGGGTTCCCGGAGGAGGGGGTGCTCTGTGGCCACAGTGAGAGCTGGTGATGGCGAGGGCAGAAGGGCAGTATGGACAGAAAAAAAGGCCTCAGAGGCACAGAGACATGAAGAGGCCATTAGGGTGTAGGGCTGGCCCTGTGAGTCTGGCCCAGACACCCTGGGGGAAGGAAGGAGCAGGAGAAGTACAGCAGGACCCAAGAGTCCTTGAGCCGGTGTCCTGTGGTCACTGGGGACCACAGGAGACTTTCAGCTGCGGTGTGGTCTGAGCAGATGCTGTTTACAGAAGGTCA